TCGGAAGTTCCGGTTCCTGGAGAGGGCCCGGGCGCTGCTGGACCTGTGCGCGGCTCCCGGCGGGTGGTGAGTGCTGCCAGGGCCTGGTGCAGCTGCCCCGGGACCTCGTAGCGATGCGTGTTGTCTGTTTGCTGCTGCTGTGGCTCTGTCCTCGATGCCAAAGCCGGTCCAAAACCCCCGGTAGAATCATCGAATCCTTAAGGTTGGAAAAGACCTTAAGTCCAGCTGTCAGCAGCGCAGTTCCAAGGCTGGGGGCTCTGCTGGGATCCTGCTGTAGCTTTGATTCTCTCTGTTTTTTCCAGGCTGCAGGTGGCTTCTAAGTTCATGCCGGTTTCCAGCTTGATCATTGGTGAGTGGTGGGAGCTGGCAGGGTTGGGCTGGGTGCAGGGACCTCCACCACGGTCCTTGGATGTGGCCGAAGAAGGGGGATCCTGGATCAGGGATCCTGGTAGGAGGAGAGAGCGGTTGTGGAAACCACGTGGGGTGAGCTGGAGCCTGGTTTTGAGGGGTTGTGGTGTTTATGTCTCCTCCTTACACCAGGAGTCGACTTGGTCCCCATCAAGCCCATTCCCAACGTGGTGACGCTGCAGGAGGACATCACCACTGAGAAGTGCCGCCAGGTAAGGACCCGTCTCTCCTACTCCGAGCATGCTATGCCAGTCTAGGAGGGCCGTGGTGGGGGGCTGAGCTGAGCTGATGTGGGTGGGGGTGCTGCCTGTCGGGCCTTGCAGAGGGCTTGGTGGGACTAACACGTGCATCCATCCCTCAGGCCCTACGCAAGGAGCTGCAGACCTGGAAGGTGGACGTGGTGCTGAACGACGGAGCACCCAACATGGGAGCCAGCTGGGTGCATGACGCCTACTCCCAAGGTGGGGCCCCCTCCAGGGCTGGTGCGGTCTGGGGGGTACGAGGGCAGGCACATCCCGTACCCCAGCAGGGCAGGGTGGCTGTGGTGTGCGCTGGGGGACAGGGAGCTGGGTGGTGGGGACGGGGACGACTGCTGACTGCTCTTTTCCCTCACTCCAGCCAACCTGACCCTCATGGCTCTGAAACTGGCCTGCGAATTCCTCTGCAAGGGCGGCTGGTTCATCACCAAGGTTTTTCGTTCCCGGGCCCCCCAGCCGCTCCTCTGGATCTTCCAGCAGTTCTTCCACAAGGTCCAGGCCACCAAGCCCCAGGCCTCCCGCAATGAGTCTGCTGAGATCTTTGTGGTGGGACAGGGTGAGCAGCTGGGGGGGATCTGCAGCCGTGGGGATGGGGCTGGGGAGAACCTGCTGATAGCTCTGATTCCTCCATCCCAGGTTATCAGGCTCCAGACAAAATCGACAGCAAGTTTTTTGACCCAAAATATGCTTTCAAGGAGGTGGAGGTTCAGACTAAGTCTGTTAATGAGCTGATCAGCAAAAAGAAGCCAAAGGTATGAGCAAGGCCGAACACACGCAAATGGGACTGGGGATTGGGGCCAAAGAAATTGTAACATGCAAGGTCTCTCAGCAAAATGAAAGCCGTGAGGATGCAAAGTGATGGAAGAGCCAGTCTGGGGAGATTTACAGCCTTAGAACATGGTGCAGTGGTGGGGAAACAATGATACACGTTGTGAGGCTGGGGATGGGTCCGTAAAACTCTCCCTACAATGGCTGGCTGCTGGGCTTGCGTCTCTGTGAGGTGTCTTTAGGAACAGGACAGTAAAGGCCATGTCAAGTGGCCTCAGCTGGGCATAGAGCTGACACAGACCTCTGTCATTGTTGCCTCTCTGAGTCTGAGGTGGGACCGGGAGATGCTGTGGAGCTGGCAGGTTGGGGCTGGTGACTTGCCTTTTTCGCTAAGTCGTGTGAGCACATTTAGATGGGTGCTGCAGCAAGACATGAGTTACGTGGCGTTATTGGTCCTTTAGGGATGGTTGAAGCTGCTTTTGTGCCCTGCTATGGCTCATGCACCTCCTTCCTCCTGTAGGCAGAAGGCTACGCGGATGGCGACATGACCCTCTACCACCGCTTCACCCTGATGGACTTCCTCAAGGCTCCCAACCCCGTGGACTTCCTCTCCAAGGCCAACGAGGTGAGCACCTGAAGTGAGGGGGACCTTGGTGACCCCTGAGATGTCCCCGGGAGCACAGAGAGATGAAAGGACAGAGCCACGTTGCCCCAGCAATGGCCCCGTTCCTGTTCTTGCGGAGGGGAGGCAGGACAGGAGCCTGCCTGGAATTTAGCCCATTGTTCTCATTGAGTTTTGAGTTGATTATTCTTACCAAAGAAGTGGGCTTAGCATTTATGCTGAATTAATTTGCCTCTGCTCTATCCAGATCACGCTGGGGGATGGCGAGCTGGAGAATCACAGTTCCACCACAGAGGAGCTGCGTCAGTGCTGCAAGGACATCCGCGTGCTGGGACGCAAAGAGCTCAGGTACTGGGGGGGAACTGGGACGGTGCGTTATGCCAGGCCTGGTGGGTGTCTCTAACGGTCTGCCTCCCCACACACGCAGAGGCCTGCTGCACTGGAGGACGAAGTTGCGGCGTTTTTTGGGGAAAAAGCTGAAGGAGCAGGCGAAGGAGCTGGATATCAAGTAGGAACAACAGGGCTGCCCCAGAGTGCCAAGGCGGTGGGGTGGGCCTGCCCCCAGGAGAGACTGTTTGAGCTCCTTTCTTTTGGCAGCCTGAGCTCTGGTGAAGAGGACGAAGGCAAAGAGGAGGAGAAGAAAGAGAAGAAGACATTGCCAAGTGCCGCATCGGATGAGGTGCTGAAAGAAGAGGAGGAGATAGAGCTGGTACTGACGGAGATGAAGGCCAAGGAGCTGGCGGAGTTGAAGAGGTAAAAAGATCTCACGTGAGGAGAGATGGGGAGCAGTGTGCCAGCCGAGCATGGGGGGCTCCAGCCATGGGGACAGAGAGTGGTGGTGTCAGCGCCTGTCCCTCTGTGGACAGCGGGTGGGGTCTGGGGGTCTGGGGTCCTCGGCGTTGTCTTCTCCTCCAGGCGGCTTTTCCAAGCTGGGGACCCCTCACTGGGTGGTGACAGTGCTGCTGAGGGAGATCTGGCACCGATGGGGCCGGTCTGTGTGTGGGGAGGGGGGCAGTGTAGCCTCATTCCTTTGCCTTCTCCAGAAAGAAGAAGAAGATCCTGAAGGAGCAGCGGAAGCAGCGTGAGCGTGTGGAGCTGAAGATGGACCTCCCAGGTGTCTCCATCGCCGATGATGGTGACACCAGCATGTTCTCCCTCCGGTCTATCCACAGGACCCCGGTGTGTGGGGCAGAGGGAGGTCAGGCTCCCAGAGCCGTCGGTTCCAGGACAGTGGTGGGCACACAGGTGACGGACTGGGGCTTGTGACTTGTCTTGCGTTGCAGCTGCTGAAGGAGGTGACGCGGGGGGACATGGCATCAGCAGATGCCCTCCTGGAGATAGGACCTGGGGATGATGACATTTGTGTCTCGGATCACGGAGAAGAGGACGATGTGTCCCTGGCCAGCGATCTGGACCCGGAGGAGCTGGCTGAGATAGAGGCCCGTCAGCGCCGGCTGGAGCGGGAAAGGCGAGAGCAGGGTGCGAAGAGGTGAGAGCCGGGAGAGGCCTCGCTGGGGCAGGGGCTTCCTCGGGAACGGCTCCGGAGTCCGGCAGTGAGCACACCCCGTCCTGGCTGGGGGGCACTGATCCTGCTGTTATTTGTCACAGGGCAAAGTTCAAGCAGAAGGAAGAGGAGGAGGAAGGGGAGGAAGAGGAGAATCCCCTGCTGATGCCCCTGGAGGAGAAGTCGGTGCTGGAGGAACGGCGGACCAACCTGTGGTTCGGGAAGGTGATTCCCACTGGGCCGGGAATGATGGGGCAGCCTCGGCCCCAGCAGGGGTTTTTCCTGTGTCCCCTGACCCGCTGCTCCCCATCCCCAGGACGCCTTTGCCGGCATCGAGGACGATGCGGATGAGGACCTGGAGCTGGGGCAGTCGCAGATGTTGGCTGAGAAACAGCGCGAGTCTCAGAGAGGTTAGTGGGGGGCTGTGTCACTAACGGGGTCACAGGACAGTCCTGCGGCCCGGCCTGGGGCACTGCGTCAAACCAGGATGGGGATGCTGCTCTGAGCAGGACCGGAGATCTCTGGAGGTTGTTTCTAGCCTGTATAGTTACACAGTTAACAAGCTGGAATTAGTGTAGCGTTAATGAGCTGGGCCTCTAGAGGAATGATCTGCAGTGGGGTCTGCCTCAACCCTTTCTCACCCAGTGGTTCCTGTTCCCTAGACAAAACAACAGGGAAAGGGGTGAAGAAGAAGGTGCCCCAGGAGGACGCTCCAGCTGAGCCCCCGCCTGCCGCGGACACCGCGCCCGACGCTGGTGAAGCGCAGGGCGAGCAGAGCAGCGACGACGACAGCAGCAGCGACGAGGAGAGGTGAGGGCTGAGAGGGCGACGGTCTGGGTGCTCTCCCCCAGCTCTCCAGCCCTGGAGAGCGGGGAGGGGAGGCCCCCAGCCCTGACCCCTCTCCTCTCCGCAGGCCACTGATCCCGACAGGGAGGAAGCGGGGCCGTGTCGAGCCGTGTGGCTTCGAGGTGGTGCCCATTGAGAACCCGGGTGAGTGGGGGTCGCTGTCTGTGCCCATGTGCACCCAGTGACCATGTGCTCCCCTCCCTCGTTAGGGTCGGGAGGCGGGGTCAGACTGTGCTTATCTGGGCTGGCAAGGCTGCTTGCTGCTCCCTGCGTCTCAGGCTGCTTGCAGATAGGCCAAGCTTTAATCTGTCCGTATGCTGCAGTGAAAAGAGCCCGTGTCCTGGATGCAGAGGGCCTGGCGCTTGGCTCTGTCATCGCCACCTCCAAAAAGGCCAAGCGGGACCTGATTGACGACTCCTTCAACAGGTACTTGCAGCTGTGGCTGCTGGAGGGGGAGCAGCGTTCGGTCTCCTGACAGGGGATGGGCCATGGGGGTGTCAGATGTATGGGTGGGGAACCCGCGTGTCCCACTCACAGCTCACCCAACTCCCCCCCACCCCAGGTATTCCTTCAACGAGGATGAGGGAGAGCTGCCAGAGTGGTTCACAATGGAGGAGAAGGGCAGATACCTGTGGACCGGCAGACGTTCGAGGCCTATCGGCAGCGCTGGCGTGAAATCAACGCCCGCCCTATCAAGAAGGTGGCAGAGGCCAAGGCCCGCAAGAAGCGGCGGGTGAGTGGGGCTGTGGACCTGAACGGGTGCTCTATTCCCTCTCCCAACTGCTCCGTCCCTCCTCCGATCCCGCTTGTCCCTCACCCTCTGTGTCCCCACAGATGCTGAAGAAGATGGAGCAGATGAAGAAGAAAGCGGAGGCCGTGGTGAACACGGTGGATATCTCGGAGCGGGAGAAGGTGGCCCAGCTGCGGCGGTGAGTGGCGAAGCCGAGATCCAGATGCTTCGTGTTCTGCTGGGCTGGTTTGCGATGCCTTGTCCTTGCGGCCACAGTGTGGGAACAGCTTCTGCACGTAACCCAGTAGGGATGGCAAAACGTGGGCTGGGTGTAGGCTGAGAGGTGGCAGAGCCAGCAGGGGAGCCCCATCTTGGGGCAGAGAGGCTTGGAGGAGTAATGGGACCCAGTATTGGTCTTTGGATACATCCCAAAGCTGAAATGCTGAAGCTGAGCTGAGGTTCTGGGGTCTCAGTCTCACCTTTTCCCCTTGTCAAGCCTTGGACACTGTCTCAGGCAGCATTCTCCCAGAGAAGCTGGTGGCTCGTGGCTTGGGCAGGTGTACTTTTCACTGGATAAAGAACTGGCTGAATGGCCGAGCCCAGAGAGTGGTGGTGAATGGAGTTAGATCCAGCTGGTGGCTGGTCACGAGTGGTGTTCCCCAGGGCTCGGTTTTGGGTCCAGTTTTGTTTAACAACTTTATCAACGATCTGGATGAGGGGATTGAGTGCGCCCTCAGTAAGTTTGCAGAGGACACGAAGCTGGGTGGGAGTGTCGAACTGCTGGAGGGTAGGAAGGCTCTGCAGAGGGATCTGGGGCGGCTGGAAAGCTGCCCAGCGGAAAAGGACCTGGGGGTGTTGGTCCACAGCCGGCTGAGCACGAGCCAGCAGCGTGTCCAGGTGGCCAAGAAGGCCAACGGCATCCTGGCTTGGATCAGGAATGGGGTGGCCAGCAGGAGTAGGGAGGGGATCGTGCCCTTGTGCTCCGCCCTGGTGAGACCGCACCTCCAGTACTGTGTGCAGTTTTGGGCCTGTCGCTACGAGAAGGACGTTGAATTGCTGGAGCGTGTCCAGAGAAGGGCAGCGAGGCTGGGGAGGGATCTGGAGAACAAGTCTGCTGAGGAGCAGCTGAGAGAGCTGGGGCTGTTTGGTCTGGAGAAGAGGAGGCTGAGGGGAAACCTTCTCGCTCTCTACAACTGCCTGACAGGAGGGGGGAGTGAGGGGGGGTTGGTCTCTGCTCCCAGGTAACAGCAATAGGATGAGAGGCAATGGCCTCAAGTTGCATCAGGGGAGGTTCAGATTGGATATTAGGAAAAATTTCTTGACTGAAAGAGTGGTCAGGGACTGGACCAGGCTGCCCAGGGCAGGGGTGGAGTCCCCATCCCCGGAGGGGTTCAAAAAACATGTAGATGTGGCACTTCGGGACACGGTTTAGCAGGCATGGTGGGGTTGGGTTGATGGTTGGACTTGGTGATCTGAGAGGTCTTTTCCAACCTTAATGATTCTGTGATTCTCTTGCAGCATCTACAAGAAGGCTGGGCTGGCCAAGGAGAAGCGGCAGGTCACCTACTTGGTGGCTAAGAAGGGTGTAGGACCCCGGGTGCGCCGTCCTCCTGGCGTCAAGGGCCAGTTCAAGGTCGTCGACAGCCGCCTGAAGAAGGACGTGAGGGCTCAGAAGCGCAAAGAACAGAAGAAGAAACGCCATAAGTGATGCGGGACCAGCTCCGTCCTCGACGAGGACTTGGCTTGGGGCAGGGGGCGGGGCTGGCTCCTGTCCTCCCACCGCGGCCTCGGGAGCAGCCGGCTCGCCCTGCCACTGTCCCCCATCGCCGGGACAGGGCTGTGACAGCCACACGTTCCTGTTAGTGCCTTGATGTGACATTGCCTCCTGTGCTGCGGTGGGACAGGGAAGGTTTATTTGGCTTCAGCACTGTAACAATGACCCCTTCCCGTGCTCGCTGCGTGGCCGCGTCCGCGGGTCTCTCACCGGTGTCGGCTCTGCTGAGAGACTCACCCTGCGGCGATGGCACGAGGATCCACGCCAGCCCTCGCTGTCCCGGCGGGGTTGTGGCACATGGGCTGTCTCCCTCGCCCTTTTTTTGGACAGGGAAGGTTTATTTGGCTTCAGCACTGTAACAATGACCCCTTCCCGTGCTCGCTGCGTGGCCGCGTCCGCGGGTCTCTCACCGGTGTCGGCTCTGCTGAGAGACTCACCCTGCGGCGATGGCACGAGGATCCACGCCAGCCCTCGCTGTCCCGGCGGGGTTGTGGCACATGGGCTGTCTCCCTCGCCCTTTTTTTGTCACCGAGGTCGCAGGACAGTGGGTGCCGAGCCCTGAGGCAGGCAGGTGTCGGTGGTCTGCACACAGCGGCTCCTCGGTTACAGCAGAATTAAACCCGGGGCTGAGGCTGCACCAGGACCCGTCCTGTGTCTTGGCGAGGCGAGGGGCCTGTGCGGGGAGCGGCCGGGGCCCTGCCGG